CCGACCTAGCGCGGAGCCTGGTTTTTAGGTCAACAGCCTACTTAAAACGTGTAAACAGGCCCCTGGGGTCACACGTCTCGTGTCCGTGCGTCGAATAACCGCGCGTCTGTTAATGGAAAACGTTTCCAGTTTCCACCAGTGTTACCGATACTTCCACAAGTCATAAAAGAGGCTTCGGTAGTAGTGTTACAGTTCGGCCTTAGAAATCTGTCTTCTTCAAACAATCATCATCTGCCTCGCCGCTCCCACCTCAAGGACGGTTGAAGGTATTAATTGAGTCTTCCAGCCAGAACGTCAGTGACAGTGACCTCATAGCGTCAGAAATGTGACGGGCTATTGCCATCGTCTATATGCGTTGCGTCGTTAAGACTGACAAAATGCTCCTGCCCTGCCCACTCTGTTTTCCAATCCATGACCGTGACGACATGTCCAGGCTAGTAGGAGGAGTATTTTAGCCGAGAAAGCGTTTCAGAAATATGTGTCTTTTACGACTTAGACGACAGGGTCAGTGTCCATCGGCTGCGGTCGAGCTGTGATGATGGATCACTTAATGCAAAGCGACCGTAGCATTCTATTATCAGCTACCATGTGATGTTCTACAGCGTTTTTTCGCCCCTCTCTGGTATCAGCCGCCACGCCACGTCGAGAGTTCGAGGCAGTTTTATTTTCCTTCCGCGAAAGAAAGTAGTCCGTTCCATGATTTCGGGGGCCGACACGCCTTACCTGAAAGCTTGTAGCTGAGGTCTGCAATCGTTTATCTTCCTAACTTTAACTTATTGATAATGTGTAAGCTTCATTTGTTACTCCTATACATTTTCGAAGCAATGGCATACCGTGATCCTTTCAAGAATTTGACCCGAAAGCAGGTAATTTTCGTGGAATTCCCCTTCTCATTTCTAACTTGTTGTAGATTCTGATCCAACAGGAAATCTAGTGTGTATGAAAGAGCAAAGATTCTAGTTTGTGTTGATATATAACTTGTTATCGATTTCGAGGGCTGGGTATAAAGTTCTATGTTCCAGGATAGGTGTGGTTTACAGGTGGGCACACAGACTATACAGTACGGTGGCCCTTCTGATGTTTGATTATGTCGACGATGGTTAGACATCCAGCTATACACAAGATAACAACAATACGTTAATTGCAAATTCCTGCCCGAAGGCTAATTGCAAATATTAATTGAAGGTGAAAGAGCATAGAAACAGGGTACAAAATAACTTCATAATCTACATAATAACACAAGGTAATTGTCTAAAACTATGGCTATGTATAAAACTATTTCTGAAGGGTATAGATTTTGATTAGTTACCAAAATCTACCCGGCCTAAATACAGCATAACTCAGGCTCTGTACGCAAAATCACTTCTTCTGTTAGACTTAGACCATGCCCGTAGCCAGGGGGGGTTCGGAGAACCCCCCCCCCACAAGGCTCAAAGGTCCACTTTTTGGTCCACTTTTTATGTAAAGGTCCCCTTTTTGGTCCACATTTTATGTACATGTCGAAGATTTTTCTTGAAAAGATGGACTGGAATCGTAGAAAAACTGCTCCCTTTGTCATTGACTAAAAATTTATCTCTGATTTTTTCTTGAAAATCCTCAAAAAAATGCACGAAATGCCATTTTAGAAGGTTCATTTTTCAAAATTTTCCAGGGGGAGCCTGCCCCCGGACCCCCCTAGGAACCTCGCATATGGCGCTCGAGGTCCCCTCAAGCAGTGGGATGAACCCCCCCATTCAAAATCCTGGCTACGGGCATGTAGACCAAGACTTTAAGTAACTAACTTTGTCAGAGGTACACATAAGATCCTTCGGATACAGACAGACAATGACAGCTTTGTCGTATCTCATCAACAAAATACCACAGGGATACGTGGGGCAGCGCTTTCTCCAAATCACCCCTAGTCACATTACATAACATTTGCGTTGGGTTTAATACAGGAGGGGCAACCCCCACTTTTCTTTCTAATATGTCAGAGCTAGGCACATGTTAGTGGTTCTGCGTGTGTAGAGTGGACAGGTTGATTGCTCTGCTCGACATTCCTGGTTTTGTTGGTCCAACGGTACCCTGGATGCCAAACTCGCTGTCCGGGCCGCAAAAGCCCTTCGCCCGCTGGTGTAAATTACCGCTACGGGGGAGTCTAGCCCTGGGGCCAGCCAACTCCCATCGGGCTCAACTCCCCGGTAGCGGTAATTTAGGCAGGCGGGCGAAGGGCACTCGGCTGCCGAAGGAAAAAGGCTAACGGCCCGATACTAGTTTGGCATCCAGGGTAGTCCAACGGTGGCTGTCACTGGACCCTCGCACACTCCTTGACCCCCACACCACAGGCTCTGTTTCTGCTTCCTTAGCCTGGGTGCCAGACTGTTGCCAGGGCCAGTATACAGGCTAGCTCCTCAGCTTCAGAGCTAGCCTGGATGTCAGACTGTTGCCAGGGGTAATATACAGGCTAGCTCCTCGGCTCCAGAGCTAGCCTGGATGCCAAACTGTTGCCAGGGCCAGTATA